TAGAAATCAGTTGTCTAAGAGGTGTATTAAATACGGGAATTTAATATAAAAATTTCACGGGATCGCAACGTCTAAATAAAATGTTTATGTGGTTGTAGAAACGCTAAGTTTAGACGTGCTTTATGAGCTTTGTATTTTTTGTTTGCCAAAACTTTACACTTCGTTGCTTTATCGTGATTTTTTGGCCAAAAACAATACTGTAACAATGCCTCAGCATACATATTTGCCAAACATAGCTCAATGGCATTTCAAGATTAGACGTTTTCGTCCGAAATTTTGTCTAGAGATGAGGCCCATTTACGGTTCAAAGGAATATGATAGCAAAATTGTGGTATCTGAGACGAAGAGCAACCTGAAGAGAATCAGCACACGGTTAAATTTTTCCTGTGAGGATATGTAAAGTTGAAAGTCTACGCGGACAATCMCGCTTCGAATCTGGTCTTGGAGCAAAACATCGCGTTTGTCATTCGCACAGTTACCAGTCAAAATGTTCGCAMAAGTAATCGAAAAWTRTACTCMATGGATAAATCATCTGAGAYCTAGCCGCATCAGRTATTTGAAAGAGGTAATTTTYAAAAAATAAATGTCATAAAATGYTCTTTGGAATATAATAAGTATTCACCATTAAATTTAAGGTTTCTGTGTTCTGTGTTCAGCTTCACTAAACTGAAAAACTACTCGACGTTTGGTAAATCATAGTTWTTTGAATATATTATTTATATAGTTRAATGAATATATCMAWATGYATAAAMTATTTAATGTATRTGTKGAATCAGTATGGCTGCTTGCTAATTACAAGTCTTCTGGCGAATTGTCGCTGGACAGGTATAATTATTTTGTTGTTTTTTAAATTTTTTAAAATTTGCGATAAATTTACAAATCACATGTATTGTGTGCTTAATATATTATTTTCGACTTCTATTTAGTCATATTCTTGCTTATATTAAATTTAATTTCCATTATACCTGCTGATCAAAATTGACCCGGACTATAGTTTTTACATAGTTTTATGTAAATCTTTATTWTCAGCTTTAAAATAAGCTCCTCAAACAATATAATCACGTCAAAGCTTAATTAAGTTTTTCATATACTTATAATATAATATTATGTGAATCGACTGGGATGTCGTTACTTCTACTTTCAGATCAGTTTCCAAGTGCCACTCGCTACACATTTGTGTTGGCTGTTTGATAGTTTTGACGACATATTAATAAACGTACGCCTCGCTTCATGCGTATGAAAATGATTCAGTCCGGGACATATTTGATCAGATTGTATATCTCATAAACGAAGCTTAGCTTAAGCAGMAGCTTAACTTAAACTATTTCTAATACACCTTCTATTTTTTTCGGATTGTTTTAAATTTATTTTAYTTTATTATTTTTTCCAATAAACTCAGCAATAGCATCAACAATTATGTTTTATGATATTTTCCTGGAGAAACACAGCACAGCTACAACTACATAAAAAATGTAGTAATCATATACATATATTAATATTTATAAAATACAAATGCACTTTAAYATTAATATTTGTTGGCTTGGTTGCTTGAGTTCGTTTAAAAATTCTACAGCTAAGTACAATATACTACCATGAGAAAAGAATATTAAGACTTGGTTCATATTTTTCAAATTCCTAATTTATTCTTCAAAATCAATCTCGTCACCCTCAATATAATTCCACTTGAAATCAATACACTTGTGCTAACGTTTTTTTTTCAATCTTCGAAACAGCTGTTAAAGTCAATTTCCGGAATGACCTTCAATGCGTGTAGTGATTCACATTTAATGTCTTCAACTCGCTCGAAGCGGTTTCCTTGGAGCTTTTGTTTGAGTTCGCTGAATATCCAGAAGACATACGGAGCCAAGTACGGCGGTTGTGGCACGATATTGATTGAAAATTGGCGTAAAACTTTCAAAGAATAAATGCAGTTTCCGACGGTACATTATCGTGTTGCAAAAACTAAGATTTTTTCCTAATAGCTTCGCTGAAGCGACGCATGACACTCAAATAGTATTCCTCGTTGACAGTTCGGGTGGTCGGAAACAATTCGGAGTGCATTACACTTGGATAATCGAAGAAAACTGACCATGATTTTTGACCTGCTTTGAGGTGGTGCTTTTGACATCGGTTCACCTCATACCACGATATTCGGCCAATTGATCTTATGTTTCCGGGATAACCCGAACACTTATCGCCAGTAATAATATATTTCATGACGTCCTGGTAATAGGAGAGCATTGTTTCACAGGCCTTAAMGCGACGTTGTTTTACGAAAACATTGAGTAATTTTGGAAGCAATCAAGCTTTTACTATTCTTAGCCCCAAATGATSWTTCAAAATGGTTTTTACTAMTTYCTCTGACATTACAACGTTMGAASTAAGACCTCTGACTGTTATTCGTCATTTATCAAGCATCATTTCTTCTATTTTTCTAGCGTGTTGATCCTCAGTTGTTGTTAATGGTTCTCCTTGACGTGGTTCGTTCTCAACGCGTTCTTAATGTATGCACTTCAGAGAGATAAGCGTTTACTAAAATTAATGATTTATGATATTTTGATGTGGCATTTGGCACAAATATCAATGGCCTAAAAAAAAGTTTTTCGACAAATGGATTCTCGGGTGGAATTTAATTTAATTTAAAATGTCTTACTATTTTTTGCTCACAATAGCACTAACAGGCTACCACTTAACACTGATTTTTTTGTTCCTTTGTTTTTATTGACGAATATTCGAYACACACGTTTGATTAAGCCAATTAATAACTAATTTTAATTTAATTATTTTACAAATACGTTGCATAATTTAAGTACTAAATTAAGTAATGAAATTGATTTGCAAAGCATAAGCTCGYTGACGCTATTTATACTGCTTATTCTAGCACTACTTCTTATTATATTTTTATAAACGCATTGTCTAAATTTCTAAGCGTTTAATATTTAATAACATTTTGTATTACACTGCTAGCTATYTCCACTAATATTATTTATTTTCACTTTAATTTTAATTAAAAACTAATTTACAGCTCTCTCTTTTCTGAGTTTAGAGCATTTATTCTTGCTTAATCAACTAAAATCAACTTCGTATCTGCTACACGCGCCCACAGAGTACTACAAATATCGCTAGACCTGCATAACGCAGCAGCGTATGCGCATTTGCTGTTGTACAGGCTGCACCATGGATGGCATCATCGGTCAGTGAGTTCGCATCGTGTTTATTCRTTACAGATTTTCCATCACTGCGGTAGTTACTGTGATCGGGAGCTGAAAGGAGGAAATAACACATTTTCAATTGTAGCTATCAAATGTTTATTATTATAGTAGAGCTAAGATGATTTTTGTTTTAAARCAAGTATAGAAGGGCTAAGTTCAGGTGTAACCGAACATTTTATAGTCTCTCAAGTAAAGTGATGTATGGAATTTCTGTATATATTTTTATTAAAAGTATAATGTATTGCATTCCTTATTTAAAATCATAAGCAAAAAGATACATATCGGAAACCCTTAACGGAACACAGATGGGGTTCATAAGTCTGGTTGCTCCACTTAAGCTGGGGAAAATAAAGATTAAAAGGTCAGTCTGCCACTTTCGGGAATATTCTCCCATTTTCCGGTGTTATGAAAGCTTCCAACTGGCTCTTTGTAATCCGTCAGACAGGCCTTCYTTTTGTACACGTTGTGGAACCGCAGTATGCGCCTCGCAGACCGCCAAAGCAAGAGTAAGGTCCTGTTAGAGACAACCTTTTAAGACATGTTCCAGATATAATTTCTTAGAGGTTATGCTCGTTCCAGCGCAACAATTACATAATTCAAAAAGCCGACGATTTTAGCGGGCGATTTTAATATATGGCCTTCTGCAGAGGGGAGCAGATGTATAAACTATAGTGGTCGGAAGATGAAAGAATTCCTGAGGCATACAAATCKCACAAAAATGAATAGTGGCATAGTTGACATTATGTTCGCAAACGACTCGKTTAACACGAAAATTAAGTGGACGGTGTCAAGAAATACTCAGATAATGATCATAGCCCAGTAYACTGGTGGAATGTAGAAATTGCCATTGTGAGAAAGCTCTGTTACTAAGGTGGATCAAACAAAAGATGTTTCAGAGAAGCGTTCAAAAGCAATTGAAGTATTAGTTGAAGTGTCGTAATATTAGTCACAAGACTTCAAGTTAATGCGTACCTGGCGCATACGTCAGGAAGAGCAAATGTGTAACGTCTCATCAAGAATGATTGCGATCCCTAATCGCAAAAGCATTGAATTCAGAAATATGGATTTAGGTTCTTTCTAGATATCAAATTCTTTGCAATATCAAAAACCACAGTGTATAGACCTTCTGCAAAATGAATAATTAGTGTTTTCTGGACTAAGTATATCCACAAACGCTGCYGAAGTAGGAGCCATTGCGTGACATCCAGGAAGAGCTATTAGTACCTGAAGCAGTATTGGCATGTACTAGAGAAATCAGAGCATCAAATTGTAGAATTACCGGTCAGTTCAGTTCAGTTTTTGTAGTTGTATATTTAGAGACAATATTTACTTTAGTTTAAGTATTCACGAGCAAAGCGTGTAAAAAGTTCAGCAGGGCGTATAAGTGATTAGCGAGCCTCCAAAAAACAAAAATGCCATTATTGTAGTGATTATAATATTATTAAAATATCAGCTATTGTAAATCATAARTTCATAACTTTTTTTCTTTCAAATTAATTAGAGAGAGAATAACTGCAATTTCTTTGCAACTGCTTTAAATTATTGTCAGCAACTAAAAAAGGCTCATAATTTATAATTAATTTCTTGTTAACTTTTGTTCTTAAAAATAGTGCTATTGCGACAAAAGCATGGTAAAAAGAATTAAAACTAGATGGAATGAGCTACCAAGGTGCAAAACTGAAAAATTCATGTGCAAAATGGCAGCATACCTATTTGCACTCGATAGAAGTAACTATGGGAGCATGGTAGGAATACTAATTGACATACGAAACCAGACAGTGACACACGCCCACAAGATGAGGCTGACAGAGCCAAAARACTGYCATAAATRCCTAAGGCAGGGYACCAGRGMAACAATGGAGCATCTCTTGGGCTCTCGTCCMGCATTGGCAMGACTACACCGTMAGCATCTGGGGTCACCAYATTATAATACGCTAGAGGAGRTATCGACARTTTCTGTTAAAATTCGYCTTCYGCGAAAAAAAAACAGTATTTWGATTAAATTTGAAAAAATAATAAAACCATATGAATTTTAGTTAACCTTTATCTTTRTAATGCGCATGTTGAAATTTAAAAGCAGTCGGACAATCRTTTTWTGAATTATASCATTTTGWGTGAAKKAACTTTTGTTATTATGAAAAAATGSATAAAARGGAATTTCSCTTGTTGATATTATGAATTACGATGATTTAGAAGCAGAGTTTAGAGATGTTCCATAATTTCATTCAAAAGTGCAATCGATTAATCTGCTCCGTGAAAAAACGCAATATTCGGCTAGCTAGATTATGTGGTCTGTATTTTGGGATGCGCATGACATACTTTTTTTATTGATCGATTTTGAAAAGGGTCAGCTGTGACTATTATATAATGTTACTGCACCGTTTGAAGGACGAAGTTGCCGAAAAATAGCTGTTCACCAATACAATGCACCTGCTCACAAATCTCGTCAAAACGAGAGTAAACATGTTTGAATTTGGTTTCGTATTACTTCCGAATTCACCATTTACTCCGGACAACGGACAATGGACAAATCGTTCTACAAAAATGGTATCCAAAATTTGAAGGGTATGTATGTATGTAAAAAGAACGTATTTTCTCGAAAGAATATACTTAACTATGGTAGGCCAGAAACTTTTCAATTGAACTATAATCATCCGTAAACAATTCGAGTAGCAGAAAAAAAATATTAACGAATTCCTTTCGACGAAATTATTGTGACAAAGTAGGATAGACTTTTATTTYTGAAACAAGTGAAGCATTTGCTAAAAAACTAGATACAGGAATCATAAATTAACAAAATACTTACTACAAATTAGTATTACAGTAAAGATAAAGGTTTAATATGCGTAAAGCAAGCTGAATTTAGGGTTGATCGATACATGGMTGTCCTTTGGCACCTTAAATCTAAGAGTTCTAAAGATATGCCTTAGGAASTTGGTATATAATTGGATGAAAATTATTTCAGAAATCATCATCACATAAGTTCAATGAATATATAGTAAAGTTAGTTAGTTATCCAATTAGCTGGACAGAATTTAAACGGGGAGCCTGTTTTAGTGGCTTTAAAAAATCGATTTGTTGGAGGATTTTTTTGCAAGGGAAAGAAATAATTGGTTAAAGCGAAATTTCTAGGGTTTATAGCTATATGTTTAAACATTATTCATAAATATTTTGGATTCGAAATCTTTGATATTCTGTCTTTGGGAAGCAATTACCCGATGCATCTCGCATGTGCGAGAAAATTCAAAGAGATTCCTATTTTTTAATAATTAATTTTTAATTAAGAAAACTAAAAAAAGAGGTATAAAATTTTACAATTTTTTTTTAATTGGTTTTTGACCAAAAATCTTTTATTTTATGTGCCTTAAAAATATGTTCAAACTTGATCGCGTATCAAAGTTTCTGCCTAAGCGCTAATATATCTGCTAGACGCTCGGGTACTATTTCCCTTCTAGCTTCGGAAATATTTAGAACTCCCATCTTAAACTTGTGCCAAAATCTGATTCTTAGTTAATTTTTAAAGAAATTGACGCAAAAAAAAAATTTTTTTTTTGAAGCTTCTAAAGCAGGCTCCCCCCGTAATGCCATAGGAGTCAAATAATTTGCGGCCTTTTATTCTGGCAATTGTTAAGTAGAAAGCATGTAGAGATACGATAATTTTCTCAGTAGAGAGTAGGCAAACCACGCGGAACTAAAAATGGATCTCGAAATTARCATTCATAGTTTCCTAGTATACACCGTTACAATAGTTCAAATAACTTTGCGGTAATGCTGCCCGAATGCTATTAAATTTTGAGCTCGGATAAATTTATAAGCACARTTAATTTCCCACCCTCAAGAAATTCAATATTGAATAAAGAAATATGTTACCTTTACACACCAAATCACTGACTCTTTAAATATTTATTTATAGCACTCCCTTTCAAGTAAACACACTGCTATTCGACCTTGTCTCACATTCTTAATAACCGGAAAAAATGGCATGCAGCCAAATACACTCACATATATATGCACATATATTACTATATATGTACTAAATAAATATAAATTTTTTTTTATTGAGCAGCACTTGCTTGTCTTGCTGTTCGACAATTTTTCCAGCAGTCAAACAGCACACACACACACAATGTAAATATTATGAAATGAAACCCTTAATAATATCCTCGCGTCAATAAACAGGATATAAACAGCCACACAGGCATCCCCTGTGTAAATAATTTTTAATGTGCACACAAATGGATTTAACCATAAACGCTCAAGTGCACATGCGAGTAAGCACACACACACACTGACATGCCGCCACTGTCGGGTCCCTCAGCGCCAAAGTAAATGGTATGTCAGATTTGAGTGATTGCTGGACACAATTCAAAAACTTCCTGCGGCATTGACAGTTCTTTGAAATTCAAGTGTATTGTACGCTGTCAGCTTGTATTTAATATATATTTGTGACAGTGTGTACATAGCTTTAAATGTAGTATTATATAATGCTTTGATGCGAGCGGAAATTTATGTGAAACATTTAAGTATATGACATTATTATGCGAGTTTCCTGTGGCTGGTAGAAGGCTGATAAGGCCTTGATAATTGCAGAGGTTGGCAACATTGTGGCACTGTGTATGGTTTTATTAATTACGAAACATAATTGTTTTTATTTCATAATTTAAAGTAATTTTCGTAGATTGTTTGGGTGAGTCCATTGATATGCGGTAAGGGTCGGTAAGCTGACTCGGCGATAAACGCAAAATACTGCTGTAAATAATTTAAATCTATTATAGGCTCCTATACTTGTTGAAATTTTCGTATCTGGTATTATTTTCCAGTAAATGTTTTTATAGCATAACTAAAAATCTCACTTTGCTCTTCATAGAAAATAAATTTCAACTAATCGTTTTCCACATAGCGCTCAAAGCTATGCTGCTGACGCACACGAGTTTTAATGAAACTATAACTATTTTCCTAATATGATTATAATAGATCTATATTCCTTTAGTAGCTAGCTAGCCAATTCCGCGAGTTACTGTAAGCGACTATATTCACAAAATGGACGAAGG